TAACTTAAGTAGTCTAGGTTTATTTTACAGCCACTATTTTAATTATTTATTTATTTATTTCTATCATGTTGGAATGGCAGATATAAATACTATGACAAAGATGACCCTCAGTGAGGAGAAGAACTTCGTCACAGATCAGAGCTGAAGCTAATTCAGATCTCCTTGTTGCTACAATGGAGAATCAATCCTCACACCATAGTTGTCAAATACATCCAGAGTTGACCCAGAATTGCAAAGGGAACAGATTTAATGATGAATGATTTATTAGACCTTTTTTTAGAAATTGTAATCTTTAACTTCTACTCAACGTAAGCGGCGCACACTAATTGGATTTTGGGATTTTAAGCTAATTGATTTGATATTACTCAGTGAAATGCTCATTTGTCATCACTGTTGACATCTCTCCTTGCACACAGGCTTTTTAGCTCTGAGTGTTTTTCAAAGAACGAGATATTTTCTAACACAGGTTTCTCACCTTTTGTGCTGATGATTCAGTCAGGAGAGTTTGATATCCATCCAAGCTTTGGATGCACTCCAACTGACAGTCACCTAATATTGTCTGTGAGAAACCGAACAGGACTTTTATATCTGGAACCCCTGACATGCAAAATAACTCCTTTCCACTTTGCAACTCTTTTAATATTATGTTGTAACTTATGACAAAGACCAAAATAAAGGGAAACAGATGCAGTTGCTGTTGCTGCTGTTTCAGGAAAACCGTTGACATGTTTGATATAGAAGATTAAGTTACAGAGAAAGCAATTCTTGTCTGGAAATCTTTCAATATTGAGAATATACAAAAATATCCTTTTGATTAACATTCGTTCCCATATGGCTGCAGTTTTGAAACACCACTCAACACATACCACACTCTCCATATCTCACTCCCCGTCCTCTCACACTCACTCACACGCTAAAGTTCGCCTCAACGCAAACACACTCCCTATAATTAATGAACACAAACTAGCATTAAAGTGATTTATCGTGCTGTTATTGGCCTTTTATTATCCTGATTAATGGCTCTGAATACTTGGAAGCACTTTGCATAAAAATGGAAAAATATCAAGAAGTTGAACATTTGCACAAAATATCAGCTATCAGCAGCATTAATACAAAAGAAAACTGTTGTCAAAAGACTTCAAAGGCTCAGATCTATTATCGTAACACAAACACACCGAGTTCTGTTCTCGCTTTAGAATTTGCGTCACTAACATGTACTTTGCCACTGATGCTATTTCAGTCATGCTTGGCAGTGTTATGAGTGTGTAATGCTGCCAGGGAGTTTTTTTTTTATTGTCTCCGCTCTGACACATACGAGTGCAGTAAACATTGCTGAAGACCAAATCTAGAATCTCAATGAGAATCATATTTGACTGGAAACATTAAAGTCTGTTGTGATCTTTGGACTCAAATACAAACTGTTTCTGAGAAGTGAGTCGTGTGTGTGTGTGTGTGTGTGTGTGTCTGCTCGCCCGCTGCCAGAAACACTCAGTTGCTCATTTGCTGATCTCTTACTCTGTTTTTATGTCACTCAATCACCCTCTCTCTGCTCACGCTCGCTTTCACCCGCTCACTCCATCATCCTCTCTGTTTACGTTCATAATCTTGCATATGTCGTATTTGTCTTTCATTCAAGCATGACAGACTTTTTTTTTTTATGAGATTCTTTCCTTCATGTGATTATGTTGAAGCAGATGAACATAGGTCAAATGGAGTAACTGCAGGAACCATTAGGAGCGGTTCCAAATCCAATATGTTACAAAGTCTTACAGTTTACAGCCAGTTCTCAGTGTTTGATTTAGAAGAGGGAAACTTATAGTAGATGCAAAATATTATTACAAAGGAGTCAAATAATAACTCCATGTAGGCGTTTCAGTAGGTTATTGTTGATGTCGGTCTGAAATTCCAGTGGCATTAACTTTTATAGACCAGCTGCTGGCCTGTCAGTTAGCAAGCTCCTGTTGCTGCTGTTTTCATAGGTTCTTCTTTGGGTTTGCATTTCTTCATAACTCACTGCTTTAGCAAACATTTTGATAGCTAGCTGAACTGTGTTTTCCGGTGTCAAAGCATTCTTTAAAGTCATGACCTTGCAGAATTTAGATTTTACAGATTGTTTACTGGACTTCTCTTTCAAATAGACAGACGGGAAGCTGGTTAATACTCAAACAGAAGTTCTGTTCAGATATTCTAAAAGGACCAAAAAGCTCCTTTGGCTTCCAACGTGGGTGCCATGGCATCCTGGGTCCCTTAAAGATGGGCCAAGGGTGCCCCAAGATTTCCATATTTTTTAGGTCACTGTGCATCATAATTCACAATAAAAAAGAGGCAATACTTACTTTAGATTATGTTCTCAAACAGAAACAAGCAATAAACACAGAAATCACCATTTAAAAAACCCTTACTAAATAGTTATACCATAGCTAAGATGGGTGACATGGCAGAAGTTCGAACACATGTTGATACATCTGGGATGGCCTAATCTGACAGGGTCCTCGAAAAAGAATATTATGAAGAGGCAGAATATGGAGGAGTTTGTTTACAATGTTTGTAACTTTCTAAACATTTCTCATCTGTATTCAAAGGAATGAGCATTAAGAAGGGTACAGTATCTTGTGCACGGGCACTTTGATGTTTGCTTCTTTCTCGTACTTTCTGAAGAACAGCAGTGTCTCTGCTCACATTTAACTTAAACACACACACAGACACACACACACACACACACACACAGCACACTCTCACGTCCCCACAACGCCCAAATGATTTTACTCTGATCATTATAATTAGGCTGCTTAGGCTTGTTTTTGCAATTGCAAATTTGCAATTAGTTTTGTGGGTATAAATGTCACAGAAACTAGCCTTTTTAGTTAATTTATGCTTCGTGCACCGGGTGAGTGAGTAGTGTGTGCTTTTTGTTGCTGCGTGTCACAAGTCTGCCCACTCTGCTCCCTCTATTGTCCTTGTACTATGAAAACTATATATCCCCCAAACATCAGCTTTACATGGGTTTACAAGACTCATTTTCTGCTTTGGGACAATGCGTTTTCAGATAATCCAAAGGGGTTTTTTTATGCTTTGTTTTAAGAAGTAAGAGAATTTTCTCAGACCATTAAGGCACACTTCAGTTAATCTAAAAAATGTCAGAATCACTAAATTTGCAGATTTTCCCTGGACAGCAAGATATTCAGTATACTATATTTGGCCTAATTTGAAAAACAATTTACCACTATTATTATTTTTCTTGTTTAAATCTTCTCCTGAGAATGGCAGCCTTAATCTGAACCACTGATTACTGCAGGCGGCGGACCCTCAGTGAGAATGCAAACGCTGACATTCAGGGAAACTAAACAGCTAGAACACAAGGACAGTTTTCTTAAAGCATGCAGCTATAATGAATTACACTGCATTAGTACAGTATGGTGAGGCATTAGCAGCTCATATAAGTGTCTGATAATCACATTTTTATCTTTATTTAGCTGGGAAAGGTGTGCTGAACAAGCAAGCTCTAATTAATTACATACAGTTATAGTCTACACCTCGGAGAGAGTCCTCTGCTGTTTACCACAGAGACATTCTAGAAAAGGTTTTAAAAAATACTGAGGTCCAAATTCAACCTCCACTTGCCGAGGGATTTTTGACAAGCTACAAGCCTGTGAAATTTCCTGATTATTTAAGTTCATATCTATTAATTAATTAATTAATTTAATCTTTAAAATTAATTTATTGTACATTTTTCAACATGATTATCTAGATGCTTCAAGGTCTTCTCCACACTATCAGGACACAATTCTGGTGGAGAATTACTACATTCCTTTATAATTCTTTTCATTTTTTTACCTAAAAACTGTGAAAATTTAAAAAGATAGATCATCAAAATCAACCTTCAAAACTTTAATGTGTAATCTGGGTTCGATATTCTCCTCTCCAGGACACCTAGTTGTTTACTGTCCTCGACCAGGTTGTCTCGGCTCCTCCGAGGTTTTGATATCGACCTAAAACACAAACTGTAAAACTGACATTCTGTTGTCAGAGCAGTAATTTTGCACCAAAGCCAACAATCGTACATCCATCACAGAGGATCCTATAAGTCTGTCTTCCTCCAGCTACACTGTCCCCCTACTGACCAGAACACAGTGAACAGACACATTGTGTATTGTGACACTTTTGCTCTTTCATCACTACTAATATTGCTTTCTTCTCATATTAAAACAACACACCAGTATGCAACAAGTTCAGGCATGTTCTCTGGGGGGTTTCTGAAAGGCATTATGGGAAATGTAGGAAATCGATGATAGGCTAATACCTCTAGATGAGGCAGGCAGGAACTTCTGCAATGCACTCAACAGTACAGTCTGATAACTGTGGCTGACAGAGTGCATTTTATGTATCAGGCTAAGTACATGGACTGCTTATGAGTTCTTGATAACTGAGAAAGAAAACAAATAGTTCTTTGTGTCATCTTTCTTCCTCCACCTCTCCGTCCGTGTTCAGCCTTTGTCGAAATAATGTGAATATAAAGATGACCCAATGCTCTTTATTTAACTTCATATTAAATGAAATAAAAGACAGAACATCACGCAGGGGCCAGTAAACAAATGAATTTAGTGATTATTTGCTCAAATGAAACAAAGAAAATGCAATTACACGTTTAAACATTTAAAAAAATCACCCAAATAATGCGTCATGTCCCTCCAAACCTAAACATATCGGCTAATTCTTATCATTTACATCACCAAAAAAACAACCAGCGTATCATCAGACTGATGAGCCCATCCGGTCAGTGGGACAAACTATCAGATGTAGGTCAACGAAGAAAGGAACGAGCACATCTGTGTCTCCTGAATCCTTTTGCTCCTCGGTTTAACAGAGATCAGATGTGGAATCGCGCCTGTTTGGTGGACGCTGCCCACACCTTGTACCAGACTCACATGGCAGCGGGAGTTTGCGTGCGCAGATCTCTCGCTCGCATGCGTCGGGAGCGCACAGAGGGCGCACCGGTGTCAGTTTGCTCCAGCCCCTTGTAGCGGTCGGTCGCTGCTGGTTGCGCGCAGTGGCGTCTGGCAGCAGGAATTTGGGGAGTGGAAATTCCGCTGTTACTTTCACGGCTCGCCTCGTATTTTCTGACATTTCTTGCTGTGGCGGTCAGCAGTCAGTCGCTGCGATCAGAGAGAGGCGGAGAGAGAGCCGAACTGAAAGAAGGAGTACAGATCTGGAGAGCGCCGATGTTCCCGGCGGTTGGTTTTTCTCTGAATCTCGTTTAACTACTGATTTCTCTCTTTAATTCTCCGCTTGGAAGTACGTCCATCGCTCCTGTTTGGTGTGAGAAGTGAGAGGTTTGACAAAGAGTCGAAGGGCGCACAGCTGCCACTTTTGGCGAACGGATTTTTCCCTTTTTTGAATCTTCGTCTCCTTTTTTTTTTCTGCATTTGGATTATTTTTTTTCTCCAGGAGATGGCAAGTTGTTCCCTGACAGACGCGGGGATCTGGTGCTGAAGCTCGCAGGATGCTGGGGACCCTACAACAACCAGATCTCTTACTTTGAGACAATCTTCGGTTATATTCCTCTTTTGGACGTAGCCCCCCTCCCTGGACGCTTTTGCCCTCCCGTTTGTCTTTCTTTTCTTTTACAGAATGTATGTGTTGTACAATCTAAGGGTGCTATTGTCCCTTTTCACCCAAGCCATCTTGGTTGCTTCGTTGACTCAGACTGGTAGGTGTTGACTTGGTTGTATGAATACATGTGGTTTGACAACAGGCACACTGATCCATTTTGCATCATTTTGCACCATTGTTGCCTCTCACCTGTTATTGCCTCAGCTTTCCCTTTGAGAGCACGTCTTCAGGGGGTTCAAGTTAGACCATGTAAATACGGCTATTACTATAATTACCCTATTAGATGAGAGAATTAAGAAATATTACACAAAATACACCCAAAGCGGATTATTGTAGAAATATTCAGCCATACCAGAAGAAGCACGAAGTACCAGCAATCACTCAAAACTGACTATTTATTATCACAGACAGAAGAACTCCCTGTGTTAAGATTTCCTCATTATAATAGAAATGTTATTTTTCATTAGGCTCTGTTTGCGCTTCAGCCGTCCAAAGACGCATTTTGGAGCTGTTGCGCGTGTTGCCACTCAAGCTTGATATAGGCTACAAGCAATTTAATAAATCATTCAATGAGAAAATTCAATTAAGTGATCCTGCCTGTTTGCAGAAGAAAGCAGCAGCAAGCCGTAATCACACCTTATGACAGGGATGCAAAGGAGCCACCTTTTCTCTAAAACCAGTGGAATCAGTGGAGCTGTACCGCCTTTCTGGGGCTGATAATGTGTGGATTTATAGTTACTATGTGTGGATGGGGCTTGGTGCAAAAAATCAGCGCATTTCTCTGTCAACATAATTTTACTTTACTGGTGGATTTATGATTATCCCCGCTTGGAGGTCTTACTATCCTCGCTCCAATCCCTGCTGATGCACTTTAAGCTCAAATGTGCCATCAGTCGACATCTGAGAGCAGTTCAATGCACAGAAAGTCTATTTCTTTCCACTAACTTTCTGCCTTCTCTTGCGGCGCAGATAAATGCGGAGGGAATATAGAGATACACACCGCGGACTACCTGACCTCCCCGGGCTATCCCGGCGCCTACCCGCCCTCCCAGCAGTGCGTGTGGGTGATAACAGCGCCTGAGCCCGGTCAGAAGATCCTCATCAACTTCAACCCGCATTTTGATCTGGAAGACAGAGACTGCAAGTAAGAGTTCACTCCTCACTCTCCCTCTCTCTCTCTCTCTCTCTCTCTCTCTCTCTCTCTCTCTCTCTCTCTCCTCCTCTCCTTCTCCTTCTCCCACCCTCCTCCGCTCTCTCTCTCTTCAATCCTGCCTGGATACAGGGTGAAACTCTGCCACCTATTGGTCAAGGAGTCCTGCATGTACATGGAGGTGGAAGGATGAGATGTGGCACTGAGGCTGCTGGCACTAACTTCAGAGGAAATGGGGTTTGATGGGTTTTGTAATTCATACTTGATAAGGAGGGAGGGGGGGTCCTATGGCGAGTGTCTCTTCTCGGGATTTTGGCAGGAATTTAAAGGGGAGTGAAACTCAAGAGTGCAGCAGCTTTTCACTGATGGGAGTTCAGTTTGCTCATCGCAGGAATCCAGAAATGGTGTTTGCTTTTCATTTGGAGGCAGAGTTTACCTGTTTGTATTTGGAGGAGGAATTGAGTTTGTCTGGCTCTTTTTGTTTGCGGGGACAGAACCTCAAGGATCTAATCTAATTTTACAAACTGTTGGAAGTGCTGTTGTCAGGTTATTGTAAGTTTGAGGATATTGAAACAAAAGCTGATGGTTTTGTCTGAAGCTGTTTTTTTTTTTTTTGCAGTCATGTTTTCTCACCTTGAGCTTGTTCATCAACCTTTTTAGTTTTAATTGCAACAATAAGTCGATTCATTGATTAGTCAACCCTTCTCTGATTCCAGCTTGTCAAACGTGAAGATTTTCTCCTTTACTTTGTCTTCTACGTAACTTTCCTATCTTTAGGTTTGGGATTATATCATCTCGGGCATTTTTCAATTAATTAAATGATTCTCAGATTAATCAATAATGAAAGTGGGCGTTGATGCAGCCCATTTTCCCATCGCTGTCACTGTTTTTTATGGCTCTGCACTGACCAAACAATAGGTAGTCTGGGTTAAAAATGTTCTTACACAACCTGCATTTACCACACAGACACTCAAACATACATCACAAGTCATTCCTGCACACTGACGCTGCTTTCCTGAGCATTACCCCACAAAACCTCTAAACAAGCACTCGTGCAGACACACACACACAACCCCTATATCCCACTCTCTTTGACCCAGAGACACACACTCGCTTGTGCGCATCCACACAACAGGCCATGTGTTGCTCTCTTCCATAAATAAGCCTGTTTTTATGTCGGCTCCTCTGTCTTTTTTAAAAGCTCCATAAACGGCTCCTGTGTAAATCACGACTGGCTGTCCGGCGCTGTCTCACAGATGGGGTCCTCCAATACTATTGGATCATGTTTCACCACCAAGGGACTAATAAACCATTAGCTTTCTGGACAGATAGTGGATATTGTGTCTTTCAGTGGATTACACACCTTCCTCAGCGTTGTTAGCTAACATTCAGGAAAGCTTTTTTACCGGAAAACCTCATTCTGCAATGACCTTATTTTGTGTGACAACCCAGGGAGCAGTATAAGTATGTAATAATGCTGTTTAAGTACTTAATGAATAGTAGTAAATCTTGGTAATAAAATTTTAGTCAGTGGTTGGCACTGTAGTACACCACCAACAGAGTGTTATTGTCGGCATACATTTCTTTTCCATAGGTTAATGTGCTGGAATAAGACCGTTGTAAAGTAAAATATTACGATTTCATCAGGGTTTAACATCTGCTTTAACATGTAATGTGTTCTTAACCAATCAGGGAGCAGGTAGGCCTCTTGCATCTGACAAAGAGGCACAGGAGGGTTTTCTGGTACAAAAAAGATCAAGTTATTTCATATCCAGGTTACAAAGTGGGAAGAATGTGGCAAAGAATCCAAAGATGTCCAAATAGATCTGTTTATACTCCTGAAGAGTCTCTTCTGGATCTTTGTCAGTGTTCAGTCTCTTTTTCTATTTAATGATACTGTTAATTTTGGCTACACGTACCTGATTCTACATCCCAGTAAACCTGCAGCCAAGAGAGAACATTTCCACATTAAGATTGAGAAGCATTTACTGCTACAGGATTCAAAAGTGTGACCGCTCAACAGCCTGGCCACCCTGCAGCCACCTTAACATGTCTTTTGGCTGCTTTGTTAGGGGGCCTCCGTTTTGCTCGATTGGTTTCATTATTTGTTGTGTGAGTTTATGTTGGATGATGATGGGGTGTAGCTCATAGCTCTCCGACTTGGCAGGAGCGGTGTTGTTTTTGGGAACGAGTCAAATGTTCGAAATATGCCCATTGAGCCGGGCCTTAAGCCTTTGGCGAGACCGCAGTCCTACTTAAAAATTTCCTGAGATGATATTTAAGAGTTTTATTTCACTGGTTGATGCCACTGAGCTCAACGTCAGCTCCAAAAAATGATACTCCAGTCAGTGAGGCCGTGATTGGAAACAGCAACAGAATCTAATGTTTTACCAGAAATTTTAAATGTTAAAAGTTCATTAACTTCCTCTGGTAGACTGGCTTTTAATCCGGACACACGTGGGACAGCAAGCAACTGCTCTACTGAAGTGTCCATGAGCAAGATACTAAATCTTATCAGTTCCAGATCTAACCTTTGACCTCTGGTCTCTGCAAGAGTGATGGAATTGGGAATAGAACTCAGAAATTAAATGTACATGGATAGGGGAGCAATCAGTTAATCAACTATAGAAAATGAATCTTAAATCAATTTAGCAATCAATTAATCCTCAGTTAAAAGTCCTTTTTAAGCCAAAATATCAGACGTTCTCTGAACATCTTTGGGTTTTTGACAAAACAAGAAGATTTGAAGAGGTCAGTTTGGGCTTTGTAAAAGTTTGAAGGTAATCTTTCGTTTTAATTTGTGCCAGATTAATTAAATAATCGGCATGTTAATCGATAATGAAAACTTTGGGTTAGTTTGGACAGTGGTGAAACATGCAGGATGTTGAAATAGTGAACTAGAAAATGCCTGTGACAAATTTCTGACTTATTGAAATAGTCCAAAACAAAAGCATATTCAATTTACAATCAGACAAAAAGCAGTAAATCCTTATATTTTAGAAGCTAATGTTTAGTAAATTTCTCCTTTGTTTGCCCAGTGAGTGACTGAATGAATGGATGAATGGCAAATCAATCTAATGAATGAAATCTGAAGTTTATTTACCTTTGCTCGTATCAGTAACCCTCATAGTAACTGAGCTTGTTTGGGTTCAGTGAATTTCCCAGATGGACTTTAAATGTTCTGTAGGGAAATCAAGCCAGTGACATTTGGGTTACAGGACAGCTTCAATAACACTCTACTATCCCACCATTTTAATTCAAATACACTCCCCTGATTTACATTTATTGTTGGAATGACACTCCCCTCATCAGATAGCCTGTCGCTGCTTGCCCATTTCTCCCAGTCCCATAATTAAATTACTGGACCAAAATGGAACAAACATGTTCCAGTGCTGTGAAACATGTCTGCAGTCAACTAGCCAAACAAAGAAGCCATAGCACTGGTGTCCTCAAGCAAACGTCGGCTACATTTCCGACGTCTGTGACACAACATATCTTCCCCATGACCCAGGGTTTGTAATTAGGATCCCTAATTACAGCGTTTTTAAAAATATATATTTGTCAGCCGGGAAATGCTTTCTGCCAGTGTGATTCATTTAAGGAAGAAGTTGAAACTTTGGGGGAGTTTTGTACTAACACTAGATGTTCTACCAGTTTGGAAACAATGACTCTTTATTACAAAAAAAAAAAAAAACAGCTCTATTTAAAAGATAGAGTGTGGCTTTTGTGATAACACGAGTATGTACTGGATCATCGACATGACAGATATCCAAAAAAATCAACTGTAGCTTCTTTCAAGATGAACTTTGTAGTTGAATGGATTAATTTGCGGTTCATAAGGCCTTCGTGAGCTTCTGCAAAACAGTCAGTCTGGGTGATAATTCCAACGACAACCTTTTCCTTCGACAAAGTCTCTAGTGACACAATCTGCGCTCAGTGAACAGACGTTGCTGTAGACGAGAACCAGTAACACTTTTGTTCAGACACGCTAAGATCCATCGGCTCTGCCTCCGTAGCCAATCTGGAGCGGCACCAGAACAAGCCTTGTCTCACGTCCACGTCTGAAATAGCGTGGCCGACAAAGTGAATCCCTGCGGAGTGCGGTAAAATAGAGCAGAGGCATGGGTAAGGAACATGCGTCGGTGGCGGGATAATTTGGGACATCTTTTTAGGAGTTGGCTGAACTGTTTCCTCCTACATGAGGCTGTACTGGCACGGTCTGCACCTCACACATACACACTACTCACACACACAACGCATACTCACACACAGGCAACCAAACTTTCTGTCACTTACAGTATGCTTCGTGTGCACTCTGTGGTGCAAACACAGCTACAGTGTGCATGCTCTGCAAATTCTCTAACACACATTCTTGTGCAGTTTTGTGCCCTGGGTAACTTTAATGGGGAAAATCTACTGTACGTACCCGCGTTTGATGTCACATCTTGGGTTATTATTAGTGGGTTTATACTGTTAACGAGGGGGCAGTGAATGTTTTGGTGATTATGGAAATGATGTGAATCAAATGCTTTGGCCTTCACAATCACCAGATCTCAAAACAAAGGGAACACTGATGGCACATTTGGGATTTTGGGGCATGTTAGACAGCAACCACATTGTGTTCATCCCTCCAGTTCCACAGACTTGTAGAATCTATGCTAACCAACACCTCACTAAGACAATTGATGGTTTTTCCTTTATTTTGTCACCCATCTGTATAAGACACTTCCATCAGCTACAATAAAAAGGCATTTTTATAATCCTGACTGTTCTCTTTATCTACACACTTTTCAGTTTAGTAGGTCCACCTAGCTAAAACTAATGCTTACACTTAATGCCACAACCTACAATAAATCCTACTATTGTAAAGGTCACAGTGCTCACTTTTAGTTGAAACTGGTTTAGAGAGAAGTTGATTTAACTTTATAATCATTTTGGAGACTGTAGTTTGTGGTGATGTTGAATTGTATGGTTATACTGAGAGAGGTGTCTGT